GAGATCTGTAATCTTCCTGTTGTCTCCCAGAGTTTCCTTTGTAAAAAAAATTTAGCTTCTTCCTTCCTTCCTATATGTTCACGGCTCATTTGCCATCCTTCTTTCTTTTCCTTCACACCTTCATGTCTTCTGGTTGCTTCTTTTTTACCGGATCTTTTCGCTCCCCAGAAGGCTAATCCAAAACGTCATCAATTTTCTCTGTCTCTACCAGTTTGCCTCTCCTGCCCCAAAATGTCTCTTTGTTCGGTGTCTCATTTCGGTTCAGTACCGTAGAATTCACCCGCGCCACCTCTTCATCATCATCAAATCCCGATCGATTGGGCTTTGGAGAGAGTCCCCCCCCCCCCCAAATGAAAACCCTATATAGAACTTCATTTTTGTGCCAAACCCATCGAAGTAAGTTTATATCAACTTTCAGAACGATTCTAAACTTTTGATCCCTTATCTGTTCGAGTTTCTGTGTGTCCGAATGTCTGTATGTCTGCGGTTCTTGGATTATTGGATTCTTGAACTCTTAGATTAAGAAATTCCAAAATTCAGAAAATCTGAGAATCTGAAATTCGGAAATTCCGAAATTCCGGAAAATTTTGGGTTCTTGGATTCTGAAGTTCTGAAATACTGGAACACTGAAAGTCTCTAAATCTGAAATTCTGAAACTCCGAAGTTTCGAAATTCCGAAATTCTGAAATCCTGATAACGCACAATTCCCTGAAACTGAAATTCTGGAACTCTGAATTTCTAAAATTCTGATATTCTGAGATACTGAGACCCTGTGATTGCTAGATTCTTCGATTCCTGGATTCTTGAATTCTTAGATCTGAGGATTTTCGGATTCTGGATTTTTGGATTCTTGGTTTCTGAGATTCTGAGATTTTGAGTTTCTAAGATTCTTAGATTCTGAGTTTCTTCGATTTTTAAATTTTCACATTCTGATTCTTCTTCTGAAGGTTCTGAAGTGCTGAGATTCTGAAATTCTGAAATTCTGGCCTTTCTTTGATTGCCACCTGCCAAAATATTTCAATTTTTGGCGGCATGTAATTCAAAACCATATGACCCTTTAAATTTGATTTTTTTCATTTTTTTCATCAAATCAAAAGGTATCCACCCACTTCAGGAATTTCACCTTCCCTCCGCCGTTTTTTCCACACATCATCATTCAATTAGAAGACGTTAACATCTGGAACCAAACACCATTTGTATATTTGTTTATCTCAAATCTCCAGGATCCTATAAAAAAAGAGAAAGTTAGGTGTGGAAAGTTTTCTTTTCTTTTTTTGATGGTCAACAATGACTTGAAAGGAGAAGAAAGGGGAGAGAAGTCAAGATGATGTGTAGAATGGTTAAGAAAATTATGATGTCTAGTTGAAAAGAAAAGTCACAGGGATTTAGTAGAAAATCTGACTAGTAAGATCTTGGAGAAAGTACCAGAGATCAACAACCAATTTTTGGTTTAAAAAGTGTATTTCAACTGGTGTACAGTAATCGAAGTTTGCACATTCCCTTCTTATCTTGGATACCTTAACTCTCAAATGAACCGTAAACCCTCTAATAGAATGTCAACTTCGAGCTAATATATCACATTTCCTGTGTAAGATATCAAAAAATGGTCATTTGACAAAAATTTTATTAAAATGTAACAATCATTTTTTCAGCGCACCACTTTTTTATACCTTTTACAGAAAATGAGATAAATTGGATCAAGATTAGTGGGCTCTTTTATTAGAGTGTTTACGGTAGGCCTGCCGCGCAGCTCAGCCGGTTGTGGCGACTGCATGATTCGAAACATTTCAGAATACAACAAATCACAAGTCCAAAATCTCAATTTACAGATTTCCAATAAAAAACTCCGTGCAAACTTTTGAATTTCATGGAATTCTCAAAAAAAAACCAATTTTTGAGCATCGAACTTTCTGAAATTTTCAGCACTTACTAAGCAAAAAAAGGGAGTTTTTTTGAATTTTTTTCGTATTAAAGATCAAATTCGTCTGAAAAATTTTTTAGAAGTCCATAGCTACCGTAGTTTCGGAAACGTACACCTTTCAAGTTTCCCCCCCCCCCCCCCCCCGTTTCTCGACGATTGAAGTGCCGCGCCAACTTTAAACGCGCATATCTCAAAAACTACTGTAGCTAGAAAAAAGTTGCCAACTGCAAAATTGAAGCTCTATTTTTGTTTCAGATGCTCACAAATTTTCAGACCCATCAGATAAAAATAAACTGTTTTTGTAGATAGTCAAAGTTAGCCAGTTTCAAGCCAACCTGTTTTTGGGAAAATTTAGATTCTCATATTTTTTTTTTGAATTTTTATGCTTTAAGATTCATTGGTTTTCAGATTCTCAAGCTTGGACATCCAGAAATCTAGAATCACAGACAGAAAAATAATTTTTTGAACCCAACATTTTTTTGTTGACTTTTCTCAAGCTACCTACATATTTTGTATTCATTTTCCCATCATAAAGAACTTCTACCACTCCTGAATTTGCAGTTGCAGTCAACATCATCGTAAAATTGTTTGCTGAAATTTTCAGACACAGACATTTTCAGATACAGGGTTTACAGCTTCATTTTCGGCTTCCGGGGGTCCATCACCATCCCAAAAAACAATAGATTCGTGGTCATTGACCCTTTTTTCACTTTTCAAAACATTCACACATTCTTCATCTTTCCTTCTCCCCTCCTCTTCTTCTTCTAGAAGAGGTCAAGCATTCAGAAGGCAAAAAAAAACTCGATTGACTTCTTCTCCATCTTTTTTGACGACTTCTACGCCATGAACGTTGTCAAAAAAAAGGGACAATGGGGGGTCGGGGGGTCTACTGTCTAGAAAGTTTTGGAAATGGTTTTCAAGTGTTGAGTCATGGATTTTTAGTATGCTTCTACTTTTTCTTGTGAAATAGAAGACGTCACGTCATCTGGAGGATCAATTGAAGACGTTGAGGCTTGACGGCTTTTTTAGAGTGTTAAGTAGCTCAGAATTAAGAGTGGGATTCGAAGGATATGGTAGGGGTCAGAATCACTCTTCTAGAATATTCTGAAGAGCACAGGATACATTTGGGAACTCCTGAATATCGTCACGTCTTCTGGAGGTACCTGCATTCGGAAGGAATCCGGTTCTGGAAGATTCTGAGTTCAGGTACCCCAAGAAACAATGCTTACGACACCTTCTGGAAGGTTCCTAGGTTGTCCAGAAACTTCTGAATGGTTTCTGAAGAATCTGAAAATTCTTGAATCATGAATCATAGACTACAAAGCTTCTGAAAGTGACGTTGTGATTACGAAATATCTTAAAGTAAGTGACTTGGTTAATTGGTGTAACCAACCATACAATTGACCACTGATTCATCGGGAATGAATTTCATGGGGAACTGACAAGACAGGGCCGTTGGTATTCTTCGTGAGGAAAAAAGCCGTGGTCCGGTCTTCCGGAAATAAGCTCAGACAACCAGACACGTTTTGGACCTCTAAACCGCCAAATCCTACCAACCCTGACCTTAACAGTAACCCTAATTATCATAACCGTACCCTACCTACCTCAAAAGTACACTAACCAAAAAGCAGCTAGCCTTGATTCACATGCAACATAATAGACGGAACAATACGCCAGTGTTTGAAGGTGACATGAGAACATTTATCAAGAACTGACACCACGCCGACGGAATGGACAATAGGGGGTATTAATTGGATAAGCGTATTGTGACGTTTGAAGGTTTAAAGGGGAGAATGCGAATAGGAATCTCTGAAAAAGGTGGACTTGTGGGTCAAACATTGGTGCCCAGTTAACAAAGATAACCGCTTCATCAAAAGGGTCAGTTTACTTGAGTTATGCCTTTGGTTGGAGCTAGATGGGTGGGACCAGAGATTTCAGAACATCCGTTCGGAGACACGACCATCAAGCAGACTTGAGGAATTGAACCAGCCATGGTTGAGACTCCGCTAGCCAAAGGACGAGAGCCGATACTGTCTGACACTACCCATCCTTTCCTTGATCTCTCAGAGCTCGGAGTTGGGTTTGATGATAATAACAACAATGACCACTTTTGTAATCTTTTTGTAGTCGCTATGATACAGTAAGCTCGTAATTTAATTACTGTTAGTTTCAGATGGGGGTAATAAGTCACAACCAGTCGGTTTAGGCACCTTCGGGGCTAAACCTCCTGGCCTCCGGTCGCCCTCCACCATCGCCCTTTCTGCCCACCACCCTTTAGTGTGGTGAAACCAAGGAACGTCTCCAGAAAACTTCAAAATCAAAATTTCGAAAAACCAAAAGTTCGGGCATCAACTAAGACACAATTCTGATCTATCTGTCCAGGTTTTAGCTTGATCGGTAAACTTTGAATAGGTGATAAGGTGCGCTACATACATACGCACATACACAATCTGGTGAAAGTTATGAGTCACAATGCTACAAACCGAGGTACACAGTCAGAGTAGAGCTCGCCCGCAGATGATGCATGTTGCCCCAACTTATCTCGGTCCCTGTTAAAGATATTAAAATTTGGTCAAGACACAAAATGTTGTGAATGATATGCTAAACATTTTGTCAGTTGACCACTTTTTGGTATTTGTTACTGGTAACTAGATAATTAGGCTCAAACTCCAAAGGTGCCATATTTACTCACTATCAGCTACGCAGTCGGCGCTTACCGAGTGTTTAATGGTTCATAACTTTGCTCAAACCCAACCAAAACTTTTATTTTATTTCAAGATTTCCAATTTCCGATGTCTCTCAGCATTTTTGTGTCTAGTCCAATCTTTACACTTTTACAATACCTTTCTGATTAGTATCAATCCCAGCCATAAGTTTTTCTCTGACTTCTTCGTGATTTGATTTCTCTAGATGACCCCCATTTTCTCATCTTCAAATAATCTAGAGAGGAATTTCTCTGTGTAGAAAGGTCAGATGAGGAAAAAAAGGTATAACAATAAAATTACACCATCTCTTGACAACCATGTAATCTCTTTTTGCCGGCATCTGTGTTCTGATTAGCGGCAAGAAACTCGATAAGGCAGAAAACGAGAGAAGAACGGTTTACAAGTTTTCTGAAATAAAAAAGTTTGGCCTTCTTCGTTTCTTCTTCTTTTTAGGTCATTGCATTGTCTACTAGTGTCTATAACGGAAAATGGAGAAGGCGAATAAGAAGTAAAAGAAGAACAATGGACATTACAATAACGGCTTCTTCTTCTTCTTCTTGTTCAAAAAGAAAAAGGACCCCAATTATGTTTCTTGTGATAATGATGATGGCCAGTGATCATAAGAAATTGTGTAAAGGTCCAAGAAGATGAAGAAAAGAAGAAGAAGCTGACCGTTTTTACAGGGGAAACGAAGAAAACAAGACAGAAGGATTTTGGGGATTACTGTAGGTACACAATAGACAAATGGAACAATAAGCCAGTGTTTGAAGGTGACATGAGAACATTTATCAAGAACTGACACCAAACTGACTGAATGGACAATAGGGGTATTAATTGGGTAAGCGTATTGTGACAGATTTAGGGTTTTTGGTGTTTAGACGTTGTATCTGAAAATACTGTTCCATGGGAAAGTAGAACTAAAATATTGGAGATGCGCGGTCAACGCCAAGGATTACTGACCGGTACTACTAATGGATCCACTTCATCTCGGTTCCTGTTAACGATATTAAAATGTGTTAAACTGATAAAATTATTCTGATATTATGCTGAACGTTTTGTTAGTTGACAACTTTTTGATAGCTTTTCTAAAAACCGCTACTAGAATTTCACATTATCCAAATTTGATTTTTTGACTTTCAGAATTTCAGAATTTCAGACCTTCAGAATTTCAGAATTTCAGAATTTCAGAATTTCAGAATTTCAGAATTTCAAAATTTCAGAATTTTTGACTTTCCAGATTTCCGAGTTTCACAATTTCCAGATTTCCGAATTTCAGAATTTCAGAATTTCAGAACTTCCAGATTTCAGAATTTCAGATTTTCAAAATTTCTGAATTTTTGAATTTCCAGATTTCCGAATTTCAGAAATTCAGAAATTCAGAATTTCAAAATTTCTGAATTTTTGAATTTCCAGATTTCCGAATCAGAAATTCAGAAATTCAGAAATTCAGAAATTCAGAAATTCAGAAATTCAGAAATTCAGAAATTCAGAAATTCAGAAATTCAGAAATTCAGAAATACAGAAAG